CCAGGTCAATGTGGTGGTCATGAATGGCAAGATGTTCATTTAAAGAGTTTTTAAACCTCACATTGGACATACTGAGGTGGATCCTTTTTTTCTTTTCTTTCTACTTTTTTTTTTTTTTTTTGGTTGTTGTTGAGGTCCTGGCTTTGGGACAAGGATCATTTTTTCTAAAGAGTTATGTTATTTACACGACTGACTCTTAAAGGAATCTAAGAAGAAAGATCATATAAGACACCCCCTGGAAATCCATGGCCAACATAAAGAATGCAGAGCCCTGTCAGCAGAAAGAGGAATTACAAAATCCAGGAACATCATACAGTGTGTCTGAGTACAAGGTGGAACTTGACCTAACATTTGCATCTTCATATTTTGGATAACTGTTTTTCCAAGATAAATTATTTTGGACATTCTTACTCATGCACATTTAATACAAAACCAGAGAAAGAAATTACTGATGAGCTGTAATGTAGTGAGTGGAAGTATTGCAGAGTAGAAAGAGCATGCACTTTAAACCCATAAAAATGAGGAATCAAATCCTAGCTCTTCCATTTCCTAAATATGTGACTATGGAAAAATTATTCAGTTTCCCTAAAATTCAGTTTATTTGTCTGTTAAATGAGATTAATAATACCTGCCATAAGTGTAAGGATTAGAGATAATATGAGTGCCTCGCACATTCAGCAAACAGTGGTTATGGTGATTTAGTTTCAGGAGAACTGGATGCTAGCCATTCTCAGTACTTATGGCTGAATGGCTTTGTTTAAGTGATGGAGTCTCTTTGACATTCAGGTTTTCTATTTATAAAAATAGCCAAAACTATCTACCTGTTGAGGAATGGCTTCTGAATTAAAATTAAATTAAGTGAATTAATTTGAAAGCAATCTATTTTTGTTCTTTCTTGCCCTTGTACACAGTCCTATTGAATTAGTACTCTTAAACTGTAGGTACTAGAAAAGGAAATAAGTGCATTTATTGGATACATGCAACACAAAAGGGGGAAAAAAAGCAGAAATGGCAAATAGCACCAACCACTCAAATTCTAATCTCCACCTGAGGTTTCTCCAAGGTAGAAAGCTCTCTAGATCTGGTCATTCCCCTATAGGGCAGATGAGGATGTTGACCAGTTTGAAGATGTTCACCCTCCTTTGGGCAGTGAGTTTATAACTCTAGGTTTTAGATGTTCATCTAGTTTTCATAAGGGAAGTCAAGATGGGGCAAGTTTCAAGCATATCATTTAAACAATCAAAATGTGGCTTCATATTTGCTTGTGGTTTACCCTCCTATATTATTCTATCCCTTGCAGCCAGGGCAAAGGCAGCTACTCCATTTCTCTCTCCCTAGGGTGGGGTAGGGACAGTTATCTTTCTTAAATTTCATTGGCTCAAGACATTATCTTGCTTAGGGAGAAGAAAATGGCAATACTAGAAATAAAAATGTTTGGCTAGACTTGGCCAAGCTGTGCAAAATGATCTGAACCACTATTTATTTTAAACTAAAACATTGTTGCTATCTAAACCCAGAAGAGCATGGCCTGTGTTTCTCTACTTAAAAGGGGAAAAGAGAATCACAACTAGGCATGGGAAAATTCCCCAAACACAAAGATGAAGTCTGATTTTATTCCTCCTTCTTTATTCAGCTAAGGTTAGACAATCATAAACAGAACTTTACTCCAATTCCCAGGATTGTTAGGAGGATTAAATAAAATAATAAAAGTACTCTGTCAAGTGCAAAATGCTACATCAATGTTAGTTAAGTTACTACAAGTAGAGAACTGGTATCATTCCAGGTTTGTGCTGCAGGCAGCAACAACGAAATTAGCAGACAGCTGGGCATCTCTGCCAGACAGGAAGCATTTCTGACTCTTGAACACAGACTGGATTCCCTTTTGCTGAGCTACACCTGCCAGACTGGAAGCCCCTGGTGCTCCAGTCATGAATGAGCATGTCCTGCCAGGGCCTCCAGGGCCTCGCCCCAGTCTGGCCTTTGGCTCCACCCTGCAGTTCTGGCCCAGGGCCAAATCTGGGCTAACTTCCTCCTTCAGTTTGCTTGGTACTGCCTTTCCGGTACCATCAGGCCTCAAGCCAGAGTCTCAGGTTATGCACAACACAAGTGGCCCAATAATGAGAACACTCCTTCCTTCCACGCTACGGTTGGGAATTTCCCTTCCCTCCTCTTTTAAGTCACTCGTGTTGCAACTTCTCTGCTTCTCAGGTGAAGCAGAACGGAGTCTGTGAAGTCAAAAAGCTAAAAAAGAGCCAAGGACCAAATTTGTCCATAGACCATACCTGTGAGGTGAGTCCCCACTGCTCCCCACCAGTGCTAATTCCTTGGTAACTCCTTGTTTCCAATAGCTGCAGCATGGTAGGCTCTTAATGATTATTATTATTTTATTTTTTTCTTTTTTGAGACAGAGTCTCACTGTGTTGCTCAGGCTAGAATGCCATGGCGTCAGCCTGGCTCACAGCAACCTCAAACTCTTGGGCTCAAGTGATCCTCCTGCCTCAGGCTCCTGAGTAGCTGGGACTACAGGCATGCACCACCATGCCCGGCTAATTTTTTCTACGTATTTTTAGTTGGCCAATTAATTTCTATCTATTTTGAGTAGAGATGGGGGTCTCGCTCTTACTCAGCTGGTTTCGAACTCCTGACCTTGAGCGACGATCCTCCCACCTTGGCCTCCCAGAGTGCTAGGATTACAGGCATGAGTCACCGCGCCCGGCCAGGTTCTTAATGATTATTTACTGAATGAAAACAAATATTTAATTAGTGCATTAACAAATACATGTTGAATGAAACCCTAGGCTTTTTTCCTGAACCTGGAACCCCCTATACAAGCCTGCTTTTCATCTGCTGTTATGATCAAATACTAGGGCAGCCTCAGCCAGGTTTCCCAGATTAACTTTGACCCTAGTTCTTTATGCACAAAAGACTACTGTCAGCCATTTATGCTCTTGTCTGAGTTCCACTTTTCATTTCTCAGAAGGAGTAGAATCAATGTGATAATATGTAAGTGTATATGTGTGTGTGTGTGTATTTAGGAATTGTATGGAGAGATTGTGAGGTTGCATTTTGTTCCACAGGAGACTAGAAGAGACACCTTGGCTAGAAAGCACAGTCCCTTACAGTAGAGGCAGACTAACTCCTACCAAAGATGTAAGGTAAAAAGTAGCACAGCTGTGAAAGAAGCGTATGCCAGACCAGGCACAGTGGCTCGTGCCTGTAATCCTAGCACTTTGGGAGGCCAAAGCAGGAGGATTACTTGAGGCCAGGAGTTTGAGACCAGCCTGAGCAACAGCAAGATCCTGTCTCTACAAAAAATAAAAAGATTAGCTGGGTGTGATGTTGAGCACCTGTAGTCCCAGCTACTTGGGAAGCTGAGACAGGAAGATTGCTTGAGCCCAGGAGTTTGAGGTTGCTGTGAGCTAGGCTGACACCACGGCACTCTAGCCCAGGCAACAGAGTGAGACTCTGTCTCCAAAAAAAAAAAAAAAAATCTTTTTTTCAGATAAATAAAACCAAGAGAATCTGTGGCAAACTGACTTGCACTACAAGAAATACTAAAGAAAATTCTTTAAGCAAAAGGGAAATTTTATCACATGGAAACTCTGATCCTCAGGAAAGAATGAAGAACACCAGAAATGTTAAATATATAGATAAATCAGGACTAATTTTGTTGCCTGTATCCTCTTAATTTCTTTATGAATTATTTGTTTAAAACTAAAGTTACAGCATTATCTTGGGGGATCTATTACTGGTAAAAAGTAGTACATAAAACATGAGCTCCAAGTGTTCACAGCGTTCCTACTCTATATGGTAATGTATTTATCTTATGGGATGCTTGGAGTCTGGAACTACTTCTTCTATCTATCTATTCTAGCCTCTTCCCACCACTGCAGGTTTGTTTTGAGGGTAGACTTGGTAGGAATGGGGTAAAGGATGGAATCTTTGAAAATTAACATAAGATTGATAGAACATAGAAAATATATTGTTGAGGAGAAGGATCAATGCATGGAAGGAAAACATTGAAACATGCTCAAATGATAAAAGCTAGGTTACTAGTAACAGGCCTAAGAATCTACCCTGGATTGTGGCAGAACTAGGGAAAGAGAAATGTAACATATCTAGTCTCTCTATGACTTCCTAACCTTCTCACTCTACACTAATTACTTTTTTTTTTATTTCATTTTTTTTTCTTTAATGGTTCTTGGGCATACACTAATTACTAATAATCTTCTATAGACTTGGCAAAAATGTCTCTATGTCTTTGGTAGGACTTAGCTCCTCCAGGTGTTTGATTTCTAGCTGGTGCTGGAAGTAAACAAGAGGTGGTGGGATTTGGGAAATACTAAGAAAAAAATTTACAGATACAAATCCAAGGCCTGCCCTATGAGAAAAGGTCAAGGAACTGGATGGTAGATGCATCACCTGTGTGAAGCCTGAAGCCTGAAAGACACTGAGGATGATGTGGCTACTGGGTGGAGTGCACTGACTGCTACAGGTGCTGAAATTCTTGGTGAACATTTGGAGCACCCTGGAAGCTGGTAAATGATAAGGATGAGGATAGACGCTGGGTGCAAGCCTCAAAGGAGAAGAGACTTTTGCATGTGAGTGGAAAACATCGATTTGGAAGCGGCAAGACGAGCAAGGAAAATGTTTCTTTGGCCACTTCCAAGGTCTGTGCTTCCCTCCTATACTCCATTCTTTATCTTGTTGAATATAATAGAACTACCATTGCCTAGTCCTACCCAGAACCCTGAGAATCCTTTACTCCTTGTTACCTATATCTATCCACCGAATACTAAATATTGCCCCAGTTCATCCCTGAATTACATAGGGTGGGAGGTATGTGTGAGAGAGGATAGATGACTGGAGGTTCTTGTATTTGGGGCTGTGACAGAATAGGATGGACAAATTGGCCTCAAAGTTCTGAATGGAACCCTAAGATATAGTTGTTTTAGTGCTTGGGGTACTGTAGGCATGTATTCAGATCCCTGATTCCATCAGAGGTTAGCTTTTTGGTTTATTTTAGGGAGTCTTTGTAATGCTTTTTTTTCTATTTCTTTGTAAACATCTCTTTCTGCGAACTCCATTTTTTTCCTGGCACAGAATTGGTACCTCCTTCAGAAAGAATGAGGACTCAGGACGAATTGCACCAGCTCCAGAACCCTGAAACACAAATGACATTTATCAAATGATGGGAAGGAAATGGAGACTAGCTATCTGCCTAGGAGGAATAAAAAATAGGTTTTAACTTATAGGCCAACTCCCTGGAGCACTATGTTGACAAGGATTCTGAAGTTTCTACTTTTGTATATGGGCTCCAAAAGGGAGCACTACAATTAATTGGTGAAGTCTGCAATGGGAATGAGAACATGTGCTCAAGAGTGCTATCCTTAGTCTAGGTGGTTTGTTTGAATATGGGGACAGATTGGTCCTCAGCAAGTGAGAGACTTCCTAGACTGATGCTCAGGAGTCAGGCCTCTCAGTGTCACTGAAGCTCAGGACCTGTCTGTCAGGTCTTGGTCAGGTTCTAATAGAAGAGTTAGGAAAAACACTGAGTGTGAGAGCGAGAAAAGCCTGTTTATCATCACAGATGTTTGCTAAATTCTTCATGAGTTGGCTAGCCAGTTCAGATAGGCCTGGGCTTTGGAGCCATCCTTCTCAAGCCAGCCTTGCGACCTTCATCTGCCCAACAGGTAAGGAATGAAAGGATGCCATGGGATCAATTTGATCTGCACAGATTTCTCCTATACCAACAGAAGTCATGGGGATATGAGTATTGGACCCTGAACCAGTCCCCCAACCCTGCTTCTAAAAACCAACAGAAATTTTGGGTCTTTGGTTATGTTTATTAGGAACCACTGACTTCACCCTTACCCCAATCAAAAGAAAGTCTTTCCCTTGAGGACGCAAACCCTTGGGATATGGTGGTGACTTAAGTTCAAGTCTGGTCTCGTATGAGGAGGCCAGGAGCTGGAAAGGGGAGGAAAAAAAGAGAAATTCTTTTTTTTTTTTTATTTTTTTTATTTTTTATTTTTTTTATTTTGGCATATTATGGGGGTACAGATTTTAAGGTTTCAATACATGCCCATTTCCCCCCTCCCCCCAAAAGTCTGAGTCTCCATCTGTCACGAGACTACTGGGTGGGGAAGAATGTTTACCTTCTGCATGCATGAGCACTGGGGAGAGAGAGACTTCTCGCGGGGTGTGTGTGGGGTTGTTCTAATGTGTGAATAGGGGAAGAGAGGGTGCTTTCTTATTGGCCCCTTTTGTGTGTTATGGAGGAGGATGAGGAACGGTGAATAGATGACCTTTGCGTATGATTAAGTCCTTCAGAGGTCCCTGAGAAGGGTTCACGAGGCCTGTAACAGACCCATGAGCAAGGGTGGCATCAACCTCCTTTCCACCTCCCACTCCCCAGTTCCCAGGGAATCCATGCCCCCAGATCAGTGAATAAACTTTCGGTGAGTGAGGTTCTAGAGAGAGCCCCATGTGTGTTGCAACAGGGACATGCCAGACACCGCTTGGCTCCTTTCAAAACGTTGGGGTCTGCAGTGGCAGGAAAAGCACCACCCAGCCTCAGCATGTCACCTCAGGGAGGAGGAGCCAGGTGGGTCTTCGCAGCTCCAGGAAGGGCTGCCAGGTCTGGTGCTTCAGGGCCTCCCCGAGGGGAGAGCGGACCTTTGGACCAAGCCCGCGGGCTTCAGTGCTCCGGCACTCCGGGGGCGAGGAACTGTGGCCGGGCAGTTTCGGGCTGCCGGGGGTGGTGAGTCGGTGCCCGGCAGCGAGCGGGCGGGCGGGCCGTCAGCTGCCCGGCCCGTCGCCTACCTCCCCGCCCCCCGGCTTCCTGCGGAGGCCGCGGCCGCCATGTTGTTGTGGGGCTGAGGCGGCGCCCGGGAGCCCGAGCGGCCGTGACAGGCTACGCAACAGGTTCGCCGGCGGCGGCCTGACGACCTAGCCGGCTGCGGCGGCGACGGCCAAGCAGGGTCTCCTGGCGCCTGCTCGCGCCCACGCTGCCGGTGCTGAGGGGCGCGGAGTCGCGCTGTGACGTGCGGGAGGCGCGGCGGGGGCGCCAGGTGGGTGAAGCCGCTCGCCGGGGCTGCAGCAGGGCGCAGGGCAGGTGCGGGCGCCGCTGCGCCCGCCGCCCGGAGGCTCGGCGGGCCGGGCTCAGGCGGCTGCGCGCCCCGGACGACGGGGACGGGCCCTCGGGAGCCCGGGCGGTCCCTGAGCTAGGCCCCTGGCGGGCTTGGCGGCGCCGGGCGGAAACCTCCGGCGCCGGGTTCCTGCCCCCGCCGCCGGGCCAGGGCAGACGCGAGGAGGGGCCGGGGGCCGGCTGTCCCTTCCCTGCGGCCGAGCCCGGGCCCGGCCCGCAGCGCGCCTGGCAGGTGGCGGACGCCGCCGGGTGCCCGGGTGGCGTGGCCCCCTCGCTTTCGGGGTGCGGGCAGAAGAGAGCCCCGGGGGCACCGCACGCTTCCTCGGGGACCCAGTTTATTTTCGCGGAGTTGGTTGTCCTCCTTGGTAATGCGTGCTGCAGAATGTCAGATGAGCCGCATCCAGGTGCGTCAAAGTAGCCCGAGTCACGAGAGGGCAGTGGGCGGATGCTTGGCGTTCACGGCTTGCGTTAAGCCAAAGTTGGGAAATGTTAAAATTTGACTTCGGCGTTATTGACTTCCGTGGTATACAGGAAACACGGAGAGTTGTAATCTCTGAGGCCAGAGTAAAATCTATTGCTTATTTTTTAAAAAAGACGTGTGCATTTGCATAGTAAATGGGTAAACCGAGGCTGAAACTGCAGATGGCTTTGCATTCTGTAGAAAGATGCTCTATTTGAATTTGTTAATCACGTGCTTTGTCGCTCAGTGATTGCCAATGGCAAGTATGCCTTCTTTAAAACTTGAATTAATAATGAAATGAGAATATTTTTTGATAGAGTCAATCACTTTACAGTAGGAATTAAGGTTAGTACGGAAGTGATTGCTTTGCTACATGTTTCTAGTTTGTTTTACTGGTGTTTACTTGCTTGCCCAGAGATGGCAAGGTGTGACTTGAAATTTTGTGTGTTTAGTCAGCTTTATTTATGCTCTGTAGGTTAAGCTTCTTAAGCCTCTCAAAAAAATTAATTGCTTTTCTCTATGCTGGTTTGCTACATAATCAGTGATAAAGCCTAAAAGCTGCCTAGAAACATCACGTAAAACCTTTATGCGAGTTAATAATGATATCCTTGAAAATTTAAAGATAGTAGAAACTGTGATATTTTCACTTTTAGGTTTTTTGGCTGTGTCCGTGATTCCCTTGTAATTTCAAGAGTAAATAAAGTGGAAATATTTTTTTGTTTTTAAAGGACGTGGAAAAATTTGCATTGCTGCTGTTTTGTGCAATATTAATATGCAGCTGAAAAGCTTGCATCTTATACCCTTTAATGCATTAATAACTATTCCCTTTACTTACTTTTATAATGAAAGGTAGATTGGTCTGAGAAAACTTAACCTGTACTGAATTATTGATCAGGGAGCTACCATTGTTAATTCAGCACATCTCAAGGCTAAAATCTTGATCTCTCCTGAATATGAGGAAAGGCATGTACTGAGGATGGGACTTATAGTTTTAAAAAATTTGTATTTTCACAAAAATAGTATGTACATATCACCCAAACTCAGCAGCTTACAGTGTTTTATCTTTTTCCTCTATTTTTATTTTTTAGTCATTTTACCCTATATAGTTAGTATATCTCTTTTTAAAAAGTGGGAAATTTCTTACATAACCTTAGGATTTTTAGTTTTAATGTGTCAATAATAGAGTTTCAGAAATTTCCATCTTTCTAGTAAGACAAAAAGAACATTTATCGGCTATCTCCTTCACCTATACTTTCTTCAGTATTTTTTTTTTCTGTTTCCAATACTGACAAATAATTTCTTCAGTATTTCTACCATGGTTATCATTTACTGAGCACTAATAAGTGCTTAAGTACTATGCTAGGTGTTTTATGTAATTATTTAGAGCTCACAAAGACCCTTGGTGTAGTTATTGTCCTCCCATCAAAGAGATCAATGAAATCTTAACCTGAAGTTCAACTGACCACTCTAGGTCTCTGTGTACAAGAGACAGGTTTCAAACCAAGGTCCTCTGAACTTCAGCACCTGTGCCTTATCTGATACAGTCATCTTGGTTCATAAATTTAAAAGAAAAAGTTATATGAGCATTCAATAAATGTTTGAGTAAATGACTAAAAGTGCATATTAAGTCCATTAAGTAACTAGCATTTTTATATATGCTATGTTTATATATTTTTATATATGCTATATATTTTTACTATGTTTACTAGTAAAACATTTATATTAACAAGTTCCAGAAATGGTGCACACTAAAAGTGTGATATGTTTGTTACCATCTAGCAGTGCATTTACCTTTTTTTTTGGTATTATTTTTAATTCCTTATTTGTGGAAAATATTTTTGAAGAAAGGCAGACTTTTTTGTGTGCTAATTGTTAAAGGCAGGATTCCAAGTGTGAAGTAGAAAAATAAGAATGTTTAGAGTTAATTCTGTAAATGAATAGATCCAAAGTTGAAGATGCATCAGAAATGCTGTATTTTTTACTTAAGTTCATTTTTTGACTTTGTACCATCCTACAGCCATGGAGCACAGAGACATGTTAGAATTTTCTTGGGTAAAATGTGCATACAGAAAAAAAAAAAAAAAAAAAAATGTGCATACAGGTATTCTTTAGAAGGAGGAACTGAACTGGTCTTAAAAACTATGAAAGCAGGGGGGAAGTGGGGGAGGAAGGGAGAAAACTGAGCAGAATTAGGACAGTGAATAGATCAAGAAATAATTTATTTTTACAACTCTAAGAGGGCAGCATATTTCATTTGCAGAATGTATAGTGTTATTTTGAGAGATTCATTTAAAAATAATTTCACAGCTATATCAGGACATTGAATAATTTAGTTATTTACCTGTGGAGCTATTCAGCAGTGATTATGATAGACATTTAGGGGTCTATTACCAGATGGTAGACATTTTCCTTGTTTTATTTAACCAACTTTTATATTTTCTAGATCATTTTCTTCACTAATGCATATTCATTTTAGATGAAGTATATGTGGGTTTTTTTGTGTTGTTATTTTGCTTTTTTTTTTTTGAGACAGAGTCTCGCTTTGTTGCCCAGGCTAGAGTGAGTGCCATGGCGTCAGCCTAGCTCATAGCAACCTCAAACTCCTGGGCTCAAGCAATCCTCCTGCCTCAGCCTCCTGAGTAGCTGGGACTACAGGCATGCGCCACTATGCCCGGCTAATTTTTTCTATATATATTAGTTGGCCAATTAATTTCTTTCTATTTATAGTAGAGACGGGTCTCGCTCTTGCTCAGGGTGGTTTCTAACTCCTGACCTTGAGCAATCCGCCCCGCCTCCGCCTCCCAGAGTGCTAGGATTACAGGCGTGAGCCACCGCGCCCGGCCTGTTTTGCTTTTTGAGACAGAGTCTCCCTTTGTTGCCCAGGCTAGACTGAGTGCTATGGCGTCAGCCTAGCTCACAGCAACCTTGATCAATCTCCTGGGCTCAAGCAATCCTGCTGCCTCAGCCTCCCAAGTAGCTGGGACTACAGGCATGCGCCACCATGCTCGGCTAATTTTTTTCTATATATATTAGTTGGCCAATTAGTTTATTTCTATTTATAGTAAGAGACGGGGTCTCACTCTTGCTCAGGCTGGTTTCGAACTCCTGACCTGGAGCAATCCGTCTGCCTTGGCCTCCCAGAGCGCTAGCACGGTGGCGTGAGCCACCGTGCCCGGCCGTATATGTGGTTTTAATAAAACTTTCATTTATTTTCATCATAACTATAGTAGACAAGAGTGTAGCCTCTTAAGTTAGACCTCCTTCCAGCTCCAACACCAAATAGCTATATGACCTTGGCAAGTTACTTTAATTCTCTAAGCTTCTGTTTCTTTATCTGTAAAAGGGAGTTTTACAGTACCTTGTTTCCTGAAAATAAGACAGGGTCTTATATTTATTTTTCCTCAAGAAGACACCATAGGGCTTATTTTCAGGGGATGTGTTATTTTCCCCTGAAAGACTCAGCTTGCAGCGCGCACAGGATGGCCAGGACCTGACGGGGGAACCAACCTTGTTGGTGGGGCTGCCTGCACCTTTCCAGTCACCTCTGGGATAGTAGCAGTCACGATGGGGCAGATGAGAAGGGCTGCTTGTCTTCTTTACTGCTCCGCCACGAAATGCATGGGTTGTGCAGATATGCTTTGTAGCCACACCCATCACTAGGTCTTATTTTCGGGGTAGGGCTTATATTGCACAAATTCTTAGAAATCCTGCTAGGGCTTATTTTATGGATAGGTCTTATTTTCTGGGAAACATGGTACCTGTCTCATAGTGTTGTATATAATATAAAGTGCTTAGCACAGTGACTGCTGCTTAGTGTAAGTGCCTAATAATGGCTACCTGTTATTATTCCATCTTGCTTCAATGAGAAATTTCAAAGTAAACCTAGTTTAGTCCTTTTTTTGGATGTTGTTTTACCTAGTGATTGGAAAAGAAAGGAGCTTTTTTTTTTGGCCCTTAATTTTTAATCTTATCATCAAGATAATCTATATAAGAAGGCTGACAAATAAGAGTAGAACTGAACCACAGTCCCATCTCCCAAAAAGAATCTGTCCTTTTAGTCCCCTTAATT